ACAATTTAAGTGGTAAATTAGGAGTGTTACATAATTACTTTCCATAGTTAATGGAGGCTTGATGTCACAGTTTCATTACAAAATTTTAGGAAGTCAACAGAGATGGGGTAGAGTAGACTCTAGCTACTGGATGAGATGTGCATTGTCGACCTGCGCTCCTTAATTTAGGGTTGTAGATTTAGAACTATAAAGACATTGAGAGATCATTTAGCCTAACCCCTTCATTTTACAGATGAGGAAAGTGAGGCTAAGAGCAGTTAGGGAACTTGGACCAGGTCATTGCCTAAGTCCGGTGTAATAATTAGTAGAACCAAAACTCCAACCCTGGTCCTCTACTCCCCATTGCTGATGCTTCTTTGTTATAAGGGATGTTTGGGGGGGAAGGGGAGAGAGAGAAGGGGTGGGTTTCTTTGGGGTAGGCCTAGGGTAGAGATATTCATTGGGGAATGACAGTAATAGAAAAAAAAAAGTATCAACAAGATATTTAAATTTTTTTTTAAGATTCAAAGAACCAAAATATATTTCATAAGGTGTGTTGCATTTGATAGAAGGTAGGGAGAACCCACCCACCAGAATAAACATGTGCCTTATCTTAATAAACTGTGCAAAACACATAAAATTCCATTCTACTTGATTGGCCCTATTAAAAATCCTATGACTTCTTATTTCCACTTTACAAACAAACTTGAGACTGCACAATATACTAGAAAGAACCTTGGATTTGGAGACAGAGGACCTGAGTTTGAATCTCACTTTGCCATTTGCTACCCGTGTGGCTCTAGCCAAGTCTCTTACCCTTTCTGGGCCACGGTTTTCCTCATCTGTAAAATGAGAGGACTGGACTAGATTGACCTTCCCAGCTCTTTACCTATAATCCTAAGGACTCGAAGTGATTGCCTTGCCCAAGTTATATGCCTAGGAAGGAAGGAAAGAAAGAAGGAAGGAAGGAAGGAAGGAAGGAAAGAAAGAAGGAAGGAAGGAAGGAAAGATGGAAGGAAGGAAAGAAAGAAGGAAGGAAGGAAGGAAAGAAAGATGGAAGGAAGGAAAGAAGGAAGGAAAGAAAGATGGAAGGAAGGAAGGAAGGAAAGAAAGATGGAAGGAAGGAAGGAAGGAAGGAAAGAAAGATGGAAGGAAGGAAGGAAGGAAAGAAAGATGGAAGGAAGGAAGGAAGGAAAGAAAGAAGGAAAGAAAGAAGGAAGAAAGGAAGGAAGGAAGGAAAGAAAGAAGGAAGGAAGGAAGGAGGGAAGGTAGGAAGGAAGGAAGCAGCCAGGACTAGAACCTCAGTCTTCTGAATACATTTTGACTAATCCACTGCCTCTCTATGGAAAAGAAAGAGATGAGGAAAAATGGACGATTTGGGTAAGGTGAACTTTTAGTTTCCTTATGTAGTCAACACTTTAACATAGTGGATAAAAGCCCTGGTATCTAGACTCAAGACCTAGAACACTAGCTTTGTGACCTTGAGGAAGTCACCTTTCTGTTAACCAGTTTCCTCTGCTTACAGTTGTTGTTTAGTTGTTTTCAATCATATCGGAGTCTTCGTGATACCCTTTGGGGTTTTCTTGGCAGAGATACTGGAGTGGTTTGCCATTTCCTTCTCCAGCTCCTTTCATAGATGAGGAAACTGAGGCAAACAGGATGAAGTGACTTGCCTAGGGTCACATGACTAGTAAATGTCTGAGGCTAAATTTGGATTCAGGAAGATAAATCCTTCTGACTTCAGGCCTGGCTCTCTATTTGCTGCACACAGTAAGGAATGCTAAGATTTATACCCTAGTATAGGTTTATAGACCTAGTACCTATACCACAGTACCCAAGTCCTCTCTCAATTGGGCATTCTTCACTCCAGCACACTGTCTCTTCATGTGAGCCACTCTAGTGGAAAGAAGTCAATCGCCCAGTGAATCACAGGATTAATCACAGGAAAAGATCACTTCAGATATGGCACTGAAAAAAAGAGGGCATGGGATGACAGCTTCAAGGGTGAAAGTTTCAAATGGAGATTTTTTTCTTTTTAGCATAAGAGAGATAGGAGCAGAGTCATAGGCAGCTGGGGAAAAGCCAGTGTAAAAAGAGAGATGCACAAGCCAAATTACAAATCAAGTCAAGCCAGCCTCTGGTGTTCCAAGCACTGTGTAATCCCTGGGGATCCAGAGAAGGGCAAAAACAGTGTCTGCCTTCAAAGAGCTGACAATCTAATTGGGGAAACGATATTGAAGTAACTTCATATCCCCCAAAAGGCATCTAGAGAGAAAGTGGGGATAATCACAGAGGAAAGCCAGGTCCTTCAGAAGAGGAGCAATAGCAAAGGTGAACAATGAGAAACAATGAGAAACTCCTCTCCCCATTCTCCATCCTTCCCCATTAACCTTTAAAAGTCATTTCACTTGATCCAGGTGAGAGTCAGTGTAGAAGAAAAGCCCAGCTCCTGAGAAGACCCACAGACTGTATATAAAGGTGGAAACGGGGAGTCCCTGAGTACTGACATCCGCTATTCTACATAGACCTGAGGCAGCAGAGACATGGGCAGAGACAGCCTCAAAAAAAAAAAAAAAAAAAAAAGGACCCAGGACTCTGGAGTGGGGAGAGACTACTATTTGAACTGACTGAGCACTATTGTGACTGATGCTGATTTAATGAAACCCCACCCTCTGGACCACAGACCCCAAGGACATAATCCTATAACTCCTTTCTCTCCTTGGGCTTCCTCATGAAAGACTTTCCCTCTGAGCATAGAGAAATCACATTTACCTTTTTACTCCAAAAAAAGAGCAGCTAATAATTTCTTAATTCACCTAAATAACCAATCAACCAACAAACATCTATAAAGCTTTTACTATTCGCCAGGCACTGGAGATTCAAAGAAAAAGGAGCTCCTGACCTCAAGGTCCTCATGTTCTATTGGGTGAGACAACATGTATATTATAGAAGGTACTGCCCTTTTTGCATGTGAATGTTTTGGTTGCTGAAAGGTCCAGAAAAAAAGAATATATGTTTAAGGAAAACTGATCAAATCTATTTGAGAAGAAACACAGCAGCTCTTTTTGGTAGTGGCAAAGAATGGGAGGCTGAAGGGGTGCCCACCAATCAGAGAATGGCTAAATGAATATAAGAATGTGATGGAATGGTATTTCCCAAAATAAGAGTTATGATCAAGAAGTAAAGCAATTGCAGCTCTCTCTGCAAGCCAAGGTGCCAAAAAGCATAACATTAACAGCCTTATGAATTAATAGCAAAGAAAATTAATTCCTAACATACTCACTCAGCACCCTATTTCTCACCAGCCCCCATGCTCTGACAGGTTTCACAATTGGACCCATCTATTTATGCACTGAGATTCACTCAGAAATGCCTTGCTGATTCTGTAGTCTTTATCAGCACACCCCGCCCCTGCCTTCCCCCCACCATTCTGCAGCAACAAACAGCAGACCTAAACTAAGTAACCACCCACTTGAAGAGGAAGAGGAGGTATAGGAAGGTGGGAGCACACTCTGCCTGGGGCAGCAACACTCAGCCAGAAAACTGAATTGGGTTGGAATGTTAGTGTGTGAAGGACTGCCTCACCTGGCCTAAAGGAAAGCAAGCTGGCAGCTAGCTAGGACCAGTTTTGTCTGCCCAGGGCGCCGAGTGGTAAAAAGCAAATTTCCCAACTAGGAGAGGAAGCTAAGTCAACTTTGAGGTCCAATGCCCAGGTACCTGCCATTAAATGGGAAGGAGACAGAATGTGGGCAACAGGGAAATATAAGGAGGAAAGACCAAAACAAAACAAAACAAAATGATCTTAAGAAGAAGACACCTCAGTTTAAAATTTAGAGTACAAGAAGACAAAACTATGAGGAAAACATTAAAACAGAATGAATAATAGCCACAAAGACATCTAAATAATTACAGAGATCTCTAAATAAGTATTGTGAGACAAAGGAAATTGGCCCAACCCCAGATGAGAAAGAGGACCCTGTGAATTCCTATACCAGCATGGAACTGCACCAGAATGGTTCCACATGGTTTAAGAGTGAAATAAGAACCTCTGAAAGAAAAAATTAAAAGGGAACAAAAGGAAGAAGTTATGGCTTGTACAGCCAAAATAATTAGGAAAATAGAAAAATCTGAATCTGTGATGGTAAGCCTCTCCAAAGAAGCAAAAGAGAGTGACTAATTAGGAATAAAAATATATTTAAATGAAGAATAATCTAGAAAAAATAATTTTAAAAAATGATAACATTAAAAGAATACATAATCACCATACAAGCTAAATACATTGATCTTGAATAGAGGATGTGTAAAAAGAACTAAGATCATAAATCTCTGAAAAGAAAATGTCAAGTCAAAAAACCTGAGTACCATAAGGCAAAAAATAATACAAGAAATCTAGCCAGATCTTCTCGACATAGAAAACAAAGCACCAATAAAGGAATCCACAGAATCATCTCCAGGAAAACAAATAAACAAACAAACTCATCCTGCTCCAAGACACACAGTGGTTAAATTGAGCAATTCACTTCTGATGGCAAGCAACAAATTCTGCAAACAATCAAAAGAAAGACCTTCAAACCTAAAGAACATGAAATTCAAGACAATTCTGCACCAACTAAAAACCACAGAAGAGAACGGAATATTACATTCTGAAAAGCAAAGGAGCTAAAGATACAAACCAAAATGACATATTCTGCAAACCTGAACCTAATCATCAATGAAAAAAAGATGGATGTCCAATAAAAGAGAAGCATTTAAAGGGTGAGGGAGGGAGCCTGACACCCCTGAATCACAAATACAGTGAAACTTAAAAATCATAGCCCCTATTATATAGAAGGTTAGGACCTACTATTGAGTGAACATAAATTAATTAAATACCTTGTAGGTTTTGAAACACAAATAGGGTGAGGATAGGATTTTAGACACAAATATGCATGACCAAGAAAAGGTTTGCATAGTCTTGCTTTTTCTTAGAACAATTCATTTGCTGTGGGCTACTCTTTTTTAAATTAAGAAAAACACTCATGTGAATAAACTTTTTTTTTAATTTTAAAATACATACACCGTATCCTGATTTACATAAATTCCAACTCTTGTTCTGCAACAATAAAAGCTCTATTAATCTCCAGTGTTTGACATACTATATTTATAAAATCCAAGTAATAAAAAGAATTAGAGACTATATCGGGTTTAGCCAACTCATGGGACAATCCTTAGAACCTGCTAAAGCTAAGAACTCAAATACAAAAAGTATCTAGAAGCTTTTGAGTGCCACTGAACTGTCATCCCCACTTGATCCCCCAAAATAGATGAAGGGGGAGTCCTGGACAGTCAGGTCAAGAAGACTTTAAAAGTGAAATTAGGTAATTAGATAAATTCTTAAAAGAAAGTAAGTATTGTGGTGTTCTATTTCTTGGCTTTGATCTGGTTGTCAGTTGGGATGCCTTTGCCTAAGTGGTGGCCAACAGAAAGCCCAACTTTCTTGGTTTTTTGTTCTTCCTGCACTTCTTTTTTCATCAAGAATCCCGACTGAAAATTCAGATCAAAGTAGCTGCTTGGAGCAAAGGACAGTGGCTTCTCTTCCCAGATGTTTTCCAGGCGGTTTTTCCATCTTTCCAGAATCTGAAGCCGTTCATCTGCTGGAGTGTGCCCAATGCCGTAGATGAGCTCAGGTTCCAAGACTTGGAAACCACAGAAATGCAGAATGCCACTCTAGAAATACATGAGAGACAGGGATGAGTCAAAGAATGCTTTCTGTTTCCTGTTAGAATGCATGGGGAAGTACCCAAGTTACCAGAATGTTTATAACTAAGCTGCTCTGTGAAATAACCTAGGAAACACGTCTACTTACATCCTAGCTTCTATTGGCAGATACTGACTGACTGACTGACCCTGACAGCTCGGTGCCCCAGACACAACTGTCGGACTGATAAGTTTCAGGGTAGATGCCAAGCTGCACTCACTGGGAGGGAATTTCCTTACTAGAAGTATCCTGGACCAATGAAATGGCAGGTTCCATCCAAGAGACTGGAGTCTAAAGAGACAGATAGAGGAGAGAGACAGACAGACAGAGAGAAAAAGAGAGAGACAGACAGACAGAGAGACAGAGAAAGGGAAGGAGAGAGGGAGGGAGAGGGAAAAAGGAAGAGTGATGGAGTGAGGAAGGGAGGGAGACAGAGAGATATGGAAAGAGACAAAGGGAGAGAGAGAAAAGAGAAAAACAGAGAAAGGGAGGGAGGGAGAGAAATTAGGGAGAAGAAAAGGAAGAGAGGGAGAGGGACAGACAGAGACAAAGAGACACAGAGAGAGAGAGAGATGAGGTCAAAGAGGAAGAACTGAACTTGACATTTCCTTTGTCTAGGGAATTCCCAAAGAGAAAACACCTCTAACAAAGCAACAGCTGCTTTATTCACACTTGGGTCACTGAGGGGTTGAATGACTTGGCCTAGGCCTATACCAAAAAAAAGACCAAAGAAATAGGAAAAGGTCTTCCATGTGCAACAGTACTTACAGTAGCTGTTTTTGTAGTCTAGGCCAGCTGTTCTTTTCTCCGAGGGATTCCCCTCTAGACACTCTACCAGCTAAATGATCCAAGAAGCTGCAAAAGCTGCTGGATGTTCTATGAGTCTTCACTCATTGGAGCAGCAGCTCCTTCAGCTCCTTGAGAAGTCAGGCACCCCACCCAAGGCACCCCAAGGGCTATTTCATGGTACTCGCCCTAAATAACCGGGTTCCGAGGGAGCCACACGATTCACATATCTACAAACCCCACCCTCTTTATGAAAGACAGCGCCTCATTTCTGTAGCGGTCATTGAAAAAGGCAGTAACATTGGCACAGACAGTACAATCTGTTGAGAAGGTTGAAAGGTGGTATCAGAGGGAATGAACAAGGATTTGGTAGAAAGAGCCTCTGAGAATGAGAACCACCATGCTTTTGGCTTTTTGTTTGGGGCCAGGGGTCTGAACCTGCAATTTCATCTTCAGAGGGACCTTCTAGGATGGAAATGCTATCCACTGAGGAACATCAGTCATTCTTCTATAACTTAGAGCTGCCTGGAGCACTGACAAGAAAATTTCCTTGGGTATGGCCATATGGCTAGTGTGAGCACTGGATCTGGAATCTGAAAGAACTGAGTTCAAATCCTGCTTTAGATACCTACAAGGTTATGACCCTACACAAGTAGCTTAATGTCTCTCAGCTTCCATCTCTTCATCTGTAGACCAGAGATGATAATCTCACCCATCTCACAGGATTGTTGTGAGGAACAAGCGACATGATATATGCAAAGTATTTTGCAAACCTTAAAATGCTATATGAAGGGTGGCTATCATTACCATCAACACCTTGTGTCAGAGGTGGCATTTGAGCCCTAGTTTTCTGAATTCTCCAGGAGGATACTTGGTCAAAACGTTCATTCATTAACCCAAAATACACCAAAAATAAGGTACCTGAATTGGCCAGAGAATGACATTCATATCCCCATGGACACCAAGCAGTGAATACATGGAGCCACCCCCTCCAGTGGTGATGGAGAGCACTGCCTTCTTGTTCTGTGGAAGAAAAACTTCATTATTCTTCAGCCCGTTGAAAGATGATGCTGGTGGTGACAGGAGATTAATGAGGTAGCTCCAGGGAAATGACTGCATCATCCTACCCTATGGGCTGTTTATACAGCTGAACACAGTGGCACCTCCCACCTCCACCTTACTGAGGATGACTCTGCAGAAATAGTGACAAAGGAAATGGAGAACAGGTGGGATATGGATGGAGAGGGGAGGATTCCATTTGTGGGAGGGTGGCCACTGAGGTCAAGAATGTCATATTTTGTGAGTGAATATAGCAGGAAAAGGGAGCCTTCTATGGCAGCTGCTGTCTCCAATGATGGCACTATGAAATGAATATGATCTAAAAGTAGTCTCCAAAGTAGGGGCTGTGGATGACTTCCTAATTGGTTTCCCCTCTCCAATTAATATTCCCAAAGGTCTAAGTCATTCTGACTCTAGAATCAAATATTATTTCACCTTTATTTCATCCTTTTAAAATTTCTATGTCTACATAGAAATTTTATAATATACATCATTTTAGTATCCTGATACACATATTTAATAATGTAAATTACTTAATACATAATATATAATGTCAATATAATAATTATTAGTATAGTAATACACATAAATAATATATATAATATGATATATATTAGGGATATATACCCCTAAATTTTTAATGATGGGGTGCTTTATAAAAAATTTTTTCCAAAGTGGCAGGGCAATTGTGTTTTTATGCTTGCTTCTCCAAAATACCATGGGGTAAAAAGAAATCTGGGGACAAAGGCATTTGAGATAGTATCTACTACACTATAAGATCCATGAGGTCAGGGGCTATGTCTTATCTAAACTCTGCATCTCCTCTACTGAGTGGCCACATTCAACAAACATTTAGTAAGGTCTACACTTAATAAATGTTGAATGGATATATTCATTCACTTCATAAATGTTTGCTGAGTGCATAAATGAGTCAACCAACAAATGCATTTATTAAGCACTGACTACGTACCAGGCACTATGCTGAGAACCAGGGATGGAAAGACAAAAATTAAACAGCCCCTGCTCTCAAATTAGGGAGAAGAAAAGGAAGAGAGGGAGAGTTGAGGCAGGGAGATTCCTTCAATGGTTCAGTCTAGAGGAGATAAGACCCTGAACCAAGATGATGACTGTGTAAATAGAAAGCAGGACTCAGAAGCCAGAGATGTTGTGGAGGTAGACATGGTCAGATTTAGCAACACACTGAATATGTGGAGCAAGGGCAAATAAGAAGTTAGGGATGGCTCTGAGGCTACAGCAGCCATGTGCTTAGAAGTTTAATTTGTTAAATGCCTCTCTGAGGAGAGGAGCTTTCTCTAGTTTGCCCTTGTATCCCCAAAGACTGGCCACCCATGAGCATAGGTTATGGACCAAGTGCGCCTGAGCACCTGGCTAGCCCATGCTCTCTGCCCACCTGTAGGCCTACCATAGCCCAGGTACATAGTAAGTGCTTAATTAATAATGGCTTATTGGATTGAATTGAATATAAACGCTCGGCAGACACCATGTTGCTGATCAGGATAAAGTTCTAGATGGAGGGCTGTCTCAATTAAATGACTCAGACTCTGGAACCTGGCCTTGGTGACTCATCTTGGCCACTGAGGAAAAGAGGCCACATCCATTATTTTGTAATGGCCTTTGACCAGGCCCCAGCAAACCATTTAGATAATGGGAATCTTGGACCGGGAGATACTTAAAATTGATGAAAAAGGAGAATAAAGTTTTTCCTCTCTTACATTGTTTTAGGCCCAAAGAATAAATATAGCATTACCTGAAAACTGCCACACATACAGAAATATCTGTTCCCCTCACCTACTGTTTTCTTCCTCCCCCTGTTTAACTTATAACACTTCCTAAACATCCCCCCAAAGAAATGGAGGTTGATTCTGATCCCTGATCATCTTTAGAGTTCTGTTCTGAGCTAGAATATAGCTGAAACCCAAACTACTACAAGAAAGCCAGCCCCAGCTGCCTACCTTAAAGGGCCCCTTGTCATACATGGTGCTGTATGAAAAAGCAAATTCTCCGATGAAAACTCTTTCAAACCAACCCTTCAGGATGGCAGGCAGTCCAAACCACTGCAGTGGAAACTGAAAAACAAAATGGAAGAACAAATTGGTTAGGAGGTTTTTGGGGGGTTTTTTTCCGCTTGTTTTTTTGGCAGAGTAGACAAGGCTCAGAAGCCCTTTTTTGGAGACTTAGAGCTAGGAGGAACCCTAAAGACCATCTACCCCAACTGTCTGATTTTAGAAATGAGGAAACTGAGGCTCAGAAGTGAAGTAACTTGCCTTCAGCCTAGTAAGTGCCTGAGGCAGGATTTGAACCTAGGTCTTTTTTATTCCGGGAGGCAGCTTGGTATACTGGGAGGGGCACTGAATGTGGAATTTGAGGTCCTCAGTTCAAATCCCATCTCTGATCAGTGTGACTTCGGGCAAATCACCTCACCTCTCTGGGCCTCAGTTTCCATATCTGTAAAATGAAGGGATAGACTAGATGTTCTCTGAGATTCCTTCCATCTAAAGAAGTATAATCCTATGAATCCAAGCCTGGCATTCTATCCACTCCACCAGAGGGGTCAAACATGGGGCCCATACATAACTCTGCCAGATTAAAATGTAATTGGGAAATGTTTAACAAAATAAAGGATGTTAATTCATGATTTTCTAAGTTAATATGCTGCTTGCAGGGATCTATTTCTATTTGAGTTTGACCCCCTCCCCATTCTACATCATGCTGCATTAAAGATGCTGGAGGTGGGGTGGGAGACAGAGGACTTCCCAACTCCCGCAGAGTAACTAAACTTCTGCTGCCCCCTAGCATCCTTTCTTTTTGACTGGAACAGTCCATTATTTAATCAAGCATCAAGAAAAAAGAAAACTGTTAGTCATTATCATTCCCAGTATTGTCCAGGGATACAAATGGATGGGTGTGTCTGAATATGCCCAAAGTTTGATAAAGTATCACCTCTGCCTGCAAAGTTGAGGTAGAAATGGTTAAGGTTGAATTTACTTTCATAGTATGGTCCAATCAATATTTTTCCAGTAGCCTGACTAAGGCTACTGGAATAAATATGGTGGTTGGAAAATGGAATGTAGGTACCTCCTCCTTATAAAACCACAGGCTTTCACTAATTCCTGCAAACAGGAATTGTGAGCATTTGCTCACAATTGTCCTGGGGCTGGCTAAGGGATTTCTTCACAAAGGAAAGTCTTTGTAGAATGCTGTTTGATTACTAATCCTTAATATGACATAATGGGAGTAAACACTGTTTAAACGTTCTTTAATCATTTCAGTTGTGTTTGACTCTTTGTGATCATCTGGGGTTTTCTTGGCAAAAATACTGGACTGATTTGCCATTTCCTTCTCCAGATCATTTTACAGATGAGGAAACTGAAGCAAACAGGATTTAGTGACTTGCCCAGGGTCACACAGCTAGTGTCTGAGGTCAGATTTGATTTCAGATCTTCCTGACTCCAGGCCCAGCACTCTATCCCCTACACCACCTCGCTGCCCTGGAGTAAAGAATAGATTTTCTCAGTGGTGGTACATGAATGTAAGAATGGAATATTGTGATAAATGTGACAAATACAGAGAAGCGTGGGAAGATTTAACACCAACTAATGAAGAGTGAAATGAGCAGGGCCAAGAGGACAACATACACAAGGAGGACAGCAATGCAAATGGCAGGAGTCACCATCACGAAACCACTCAAAATGGACGTTGCAAAATGACAAAGAGCGCTTGGGCCCACAGAAGATGCATGAAATGACATCCCTCCTCACTCCTGTGCAGGGATGGAGGTGTGCAAGCTTGGAGCGCCACATGCACTGTCAGCCTTTTCTGGATCATTTGTCAGGTTTGCTGGGTTTGCCCCTTCCATTTCTTTTTCTTTTCTCCTTTTTTTTTTTTTTTTTTGTTTTAATAAAGGATGGCTCTCTGGGAAAGAAAGGGCGTGGGCTGTAGGGAGAAATGTAGGCAATGTAAAAACAAAGATGTCAACAAAAGCTTGTTTTTTAAAATAGATGTTCTTCTGTGCCCAAAGGGTTAGGAAAAGGACCCACATGTACAAAAATATCTATAGCAGCTCTTTCTGTGGTGGCAAAGAATTGGAAATTGAGGGGACGCCCATCAGTTGGGGAATGGCTGAACAAGTTGTGGTATATGAATGTAATGGAATACTATTGTGCTGTAAGAAATGATGAGCAGGCAGAATTCAGAAAAACCTGGAAAGACTTACATGAACTGATGCTGAGTGAAGTGAGCAGAACCAGGAGAACATTGTACACAGTAACAGCCACACTGTGTGATGACTAACTTTGACAGACTTAGCCCTTCTCAGCAATGCAAGAATCTAAGACAACTCCAAAAGACTCATGATGGAAAATGCTGTCCACCTCCAGAGAAAGAACTATGGAGTCTGAATGTAGATCGAAGCATGCTATTTGCTCTCTCTCTCTCTTTTTTTTGTTTTGTTGTTGTTTCTTCTTTCTCCTGGTTTCTCCCATTGGTTCTAATTCTTTTTTACAACGTAACTAATGTGAAGATATGCTTAATATGAATGTATATGTATAGTATATATCAGATTGCACGTCATCTTGGGGAGAGGAGGGGAGAGGGAGGGGGAGAAAATTTAGAACTCAAAATCTTAAGGAAGTGAATGTTGAAAACTAAAAATAAATAAATAAAAAAAATAGAAAATCAATAATAAAATAAAGTAACTAATTAAAAAATATGTTCTTGGGCCCTTACAGTTTTAATTCTATGCTCCCATGTGCTCTGTGTGTGTGTGTGTGTGTGTGTGTGTGTGTGTGTGTGTGTGTGACCCCTCTAGCAGTCTGATGAAACCTATGGATCCCTTCCCAGAATATTTTTATGCATAAAACAAAACACATAGGATTATAAAGGAAGCCAATGGTATTGAAATGCAGTTATTAAAATAAGCAGCCTTGTTCTATTGGAAGGTTGAAGTCCCTCTCCCTCCCATTTTAGTCTTAAAATGTAATGACTGGGGTCTTATCTCCCAGTTGCTTTAGGTCTAAAATGGCACGCTCAGTCTTTTCCCCCTCTGCCTCATATTCTGTGCCTATGGTCCACTCAACGCAGTTCAGACCAGTGGAGAAAAAAAATCAGCCTGAGTGACAGCAGTGGTCATTGCATTGGTATCTAAAGGAGATGGGTCTTGGTTCATCAGGACTTCAGGAACATCCATGTCTGCGCTCTCAGAAGCAACTGCAGGGCTCTTCAGTTTGGCTGGTTTCTATTGTTTCAGCTCCAATTTTCTGCTTTCAATTCTCTTTTTTTGGTACCCAATTGGAAGATGACAGGGACAAGTACTTGAACTTTAGGAAACCTCTCTCACTTGGAAGTCTTAGAAGAGGGCTCTTTTGGACTTGACCAAATTAGTATATGCCCACCAAAGGGATGGCTCAGGCAGCTTGTGGCCATTAATGGCTCTTTTTAGGAGGGGAGGTGTGATGCCAGAAATTCACAATCTGTAGACATCATTAGATTTTTCACTGAATTCAGTTACTTGTGCTGCAAATATTATTAGTAACATATCTAAAGAGCAAGCAGTCTTTGGCAGTGTGCCTCATATTAAATCAAACGTGAAACATTTTTAAAAATAGCTAATATCTAGCATTTACATAGTGCTTTAAGGTTTGCAAAATACTTTACAAATATTATCTCATTTTAACCTCACAAAAACTCTGGCAGGTAGGTGCTATTATGTCTCATTTTACAGATGAGGAAACTGAGGCAGACTTGTTCATGGCCACACAGCTAATAATCAGTGAATGAACTTAGCTCTCTGTGTGTCCAGGTCTAGAACTTTATCCATTGTACCATCCTTCAAAATTTTTTACCTCTTCTGTACCTGAGAGTGCTTAACATCATGTTATGCCCTTAAGGCCAAATTAGGGGGAAAAACACAAACCAAAACAACTTTTTCTTAGAAAGAGAGGTTTCCTATAAGCCTGATGCCTTCCGAGCTCTCTGATGGGTGAATTGAAGGTTGCTCATAAGAATTACTTAATGTATTCAGACTTGCAGATGCAACTCCAAACTTGGCAACCCATGTTTAGACCAAACTTTTGGTCCCCTGGGAGAGTTTTTCAAGTAGTCGTCCAGGAACTAACTATTGTACACAATAACTGAGACCTACACATAAATAGGAGAGCAGGGTAGTTAGCTAACTGTCAGGCAGCATCACCACAACATTAGGAACTGATGGAAAATCTGGAGGGTGAAATCATATTATTGTTGTTGTTCTGCCTTCATTCTTGAAGAGGACCAATGACATCAGGAGGGTACTGTATTGACTTGCAAGTGACTTGGATTTAATTGAGGCAGAGTTATGCAAAGTCATCAGCTCCAGTCTCTCCTCCAGAGTCATCAGAGTCCAGTGGCAAGGCATAGATCAGGATGACTGTAGATGGCCCCGGACGCAGTGGGTGACCTTAGCCTTTTTAAGCTAAGGTCTTTCCCAGGTCTCAGTTTGTGTGAGGCAACACCCATTCAGTGATTTAAAGCTAGGTAAGAAATGAGGCAAAAGATGGCCTAGTTTGTCTACTCAAAAAAAAAAATTAAACTGGGCAGGGGTGACCCTCAGGGTTTCTGGCCAGAACAGAAACAATTGCTATTTACACTCACTCTAAGCCATCAAAACCCAAACAATGAGCAAGTGAGGCTTGGGCTGGGATGTATTATTGGCCAATCAGTGAGAGCCAGAGTGATTTGGGGTTTAAAGGCATAGTCAAGGAGCTCTATTTGAATCCCAAAGGGCTTTATCAAAGCCTGGTTTTCCAGAGCTCTATTTCAAGAAATCATAAATGAAAACTATATGAGACAGAAGAGTTCATTGTCCCAGTTTTTCTAAAAAACAAAAACAATGCTAGAATAAATAAGTAGGGAAAGCCCTCTACACAGCCAAAAATGTCTCATTTAAGACATTGGCCTAAAAGCCACTAAGGTGACCTTGATGACCCTGATCAATGAGAGTAAATGAAAGATTTAGAATAATCAAATTAAGAGGGGTGGACTGCAAGCTCAGTATGAGTCAGCAATGTGACGTGGCAGCCAAAAAAAGATG